TACAAAAAGGCCTTGTGAATGGTGACTTGAAACATTACCGAAATGGAAGTCTATATCCCTTTTCTTAACATAGAATAGGTTTCACCAATTTTCATGATACTGTGGGTTTTAGTTCTTAACGTGCCTAAAAATGTTCTGCAATAGGAAACAAAATATTTGGGAGTTATAAGGAAGAGAGGTGTGGTAAGGATCTTTCTTGTGTGGGTAAATAGTTCGAGTCTCTTTAGGAAGAGAGGTGTAGTAAGAATCATGTGTTTGTGTGCGCGTGAGTTGCATGTGCGTGCATGTGCATGTGCGCGTACATGTGTGGGATGCTTTCATGCTTATGGTTCGATATGTGCTTTGACCAGCTATCAAGTCTACCAAATGCTTTGCTTTCTTAAATACTCTCAAATTACTTACATGTGTCTGAGTCTATAGAGTTGAAATTGCCAGTTCCCACATGAGCACCTCCACCCCATACTTTTCCACTTCAATTCTCTGTTTCCCTGATAAACAATCTAGACTGGTATGTAATAGGAAGAAATCAGAAAAATGAAAGTTTAGAGGAACCCGATCAAGAGGAAATAAAAAATTGAGGAGTATTGCGTGATCATATAAGACCAATATGATTTATTATCTATTCAATTTTTTCAGTTAGTATGCTACGAACATTAGTAAAAAAATTGCTTATCTAAATAAAATATTGTTTGACTACATATATGACAGCTAATAGAATAAATCAAGTAAATGAAACAAATATTATTTATGAATGTACTCATCGGTATATATTCATGCATGGTTTTATTGCTTAAGGAAAAAAAATTTAAAACATGCTACAATCTTATTACATTAAAAGTAAACGAGACAAATATTGATAAATATATAATGGAACAAATAAGTCTTAAATGACATGCTGCAATCTTGTTGCATTAAAAGTAAATTAAATAAATATTATCTTTTCCATTAGGAGCCTAACCATCTAACTCTAAAACTCTCCATCTTTGAGGCGGATTAATTGATTTCATAAAAAACCTACTCTTCATTTTCATCTACTCTTTAAAGGAGGTTTATTTTCAAATACTTCCTCTTCAAATGATTCATTAATGGGTTCCTCAGTATGGATAGCCTCATTTCTCCTTCTCCCAACCAGGGGTGCTAATGAGACGAGACAATTTGCGAGGTACTCGAGTTCGACTCGGTCAAAACTCGACTCGAGTGAGCTCGAGATTGACTCGAAATGTTAATGAGTCGAGTCGAGTAGCCCATTATTCGACTCAAAAGCTCATGAGAACCTCGAATTCCTTTATATAATATTATATTCACTAAAAATTTAAATATTTTGATAAAAAAACTTTTTTTTTACATTAATAATTAAAAAATAAAACGTTATTTATGTACTCGTATCATCATATGTATTATTCTCAAATGAAAAAATTAAAGAGAATGAAGAGATGTTACACTAAATAGAGAGTTCTACTAAGACGGATCAAATTGCAAGCTACTCGAAATCGACTCGGTCAAAGCTCGACTCGGTCAAATTTGGTCAAAGCTCAGTCAAAACTTAACTCGATTAAGCTCAACTCGATATGTTAACGAGTCGAGTCGAGTCGAGCTACCCCAAACTCAAACTCGACTCGCATCATAAGCACCCCTACTCCCAACCCTTCATTAGCTTCTCCATTAAGAGGTAAGGAACACCCCATCCTGCATTTCTCTTTTATTTCTACTTCCTCTTCATCAGATTTCTCTACAAAGTCATTGTCTGAATTCTCTTCTACCAGTCCACCTATATTTTCCACTGGGTTACCTGGATTATTAGGGACAAATTAGGTATTGAGGTAGGTGGACTGGTGGAGGTGTGATCCTTGTGGATCCTTGCAATAAAGGTTCCTCTCAGCCAAATCATTTCCATTCTATGGACTCACATGTGTTTAAGTAAATTGAGAGTTTTCAGGAAGAAATATGTCTTAAAAATTATGTACGTGTGTGTGCACATGTGCATGTGTGCTGGATGAAGTCTTATGTTTCTACAGTGCTTGGACAAGTTATTAAGGCTAGAAACTGATTTATTTTGTGCTTTAACCATGCAAATATCCAGTATAATGATATTAGCATGGATATGAATACGTCTGTATTATTCTGAATGTGCTATTTGTTCAAATAGGCATATCTATGAGTTTGATCACTTGGTGGTTATTCAGTGTTTGCAAATCCATTTACTGGGCTGAACTAGGAGGGTACTTGTTCATCCAATGATTTCAGTGCCCCCGTGTAAGTGTAACTATATTAGGCTTGCCTCTTCATGTCTTGTAACAGCATGATGACCGCCGAACTGCCGCCCGAGATGGCAGCCGCTCTGGACGCAGATCAACATCTGGTGGGTTTTTTTCTTTCTTAACTTGTGGTTGCTTTTCTTGTTTATTATTTATTTTTTTTTTTTATCACAATTTCATTATTGCTACCTTTTCCACTTTAAAAATGTTCTTACTTCTTAGTTTTGAGGATGCAGGGATACGAGTCATGTGACCCACATAATTTCTGACATTGTACTAGATGCTTCTCATAGGATGATAATAAAGCTACAATGTGACCTTATAACGGTATAACTTGACACAGTTAGAATGTAGTCATACCATTATCATGGGGAAGTTCATGGGCGAGGGTTTTCTTGATGTGGGAGTAGACAACTGTAAGATTTGCACCCTTGCTTTGCTTGTCCTCTCCTTGACTATAAACACTTCTCAGTTTCTACCTTCCTTCCCATCCCCTCCCCCCCCCCCCCCCCCTCTTTCTCCTTATCTTTTGTTTGAAATCAACGCTGATGGCGGATTCACCCTGCAGGGGTGGAGAGTGATTTAGAAGTCAAAGGTTTACTGTATGAAAGTGGTTGTTTGGAAGAGCTTATAATCGGCCGGATTGTCAGATGGGTATCTTAAAAGTTGAATAATCCTTTTACCAGATTAGGTACAAAAGAGTATTTAATAAGTATTTGGTGGCCATTTGAGCTCGTTTATGGCTGGAATTCTCTTTGAGGTTGCGGGTTTTAATTCTCAAATTTTCTCTTTCCCTTTACCCTATTTATTTTTCCTTTCATGTTCTAATCTGAGGTGGGAAATTATTGAAAAAAGGACAAGGGGCAATAAAGAAACCAGGGGAACCTTTCCATCACAAAACCCAAAAGTAAATTTCCAGCGAATAAAAAGACCCAAATTACTGACTGTCCGAGCTTTTCAAGGTACTCTTATGTTACTAAGTTTTTCAAGGTACTCTTTAAATCCCCATTTGATTTTTTTGGCTGCTGTACTTCGTCAGTGGGAGAGGATGGTAATTAGTATCGAAAAGTATCAGGTAACTTAATAGTCTAGACTTTAGTGCTTACTGCCATTAGACTGAAGGGAAAGAAGGGATTGAATTAAGGCATATAAGTTGGTAGCTGGAGGACGGAAGTATGGATTATGATGAGGGACTAGAAACGTAGCAGGCACTTGTCACAGTTTCGCTGATGATGAAAATTTCAGAGCTTTTGTTGGATTGGAGTAGCTGAGGCACCAGGATATATGCATTAAGTTGATTGCAAGAGATGAAGGCTTTACTTTGAGCAAATTATTCACTCCACAAACTAAACCATTGACTTGGGTGTCAGAGACTCATTATTTTCTGCTTCCTTGTATTTCATTGTACTTTTGAGAAACTCTATAATATCATAAGGATCTACGGCTTATCAATAATTCTTGGAGAATTGGAAAAAGTCCTCAAAGTCCCTTCCCCTATACACTTCAAACTAGATATCTTGACATTCTTTTCTTAATTCGAATCACTTTTGTTATGCATCTAAATTTGTTGGTTAATTCATTTTGCTCTCTATTCTGCATAGAACGTGGATGGTGGAGCGATTCCAGGGACGAAGACCGAGCAGCACATAGATCAGCACCTTCTAATCCAAAAGTAAGGGAGGAAAAAGCTCGAGCTCAAGGTGGTGACAACCATGCCTGGCAACACGATAAATTTTTAGAAGCAGAATCTGATGCACATCCACCTACCAAAAAAAGACGGCCATTTAGAGAGGAGAAACTTCCTCTGAAGTCTGAGGATGTAGATAATGCTGTTCCTGAACCTAGTAAGTTTGACCATCCTGCTAGCTCTACTGGTGGTACTGGAAGATGGGAACACAGAGCTCATGATCGTCGCCCTTTGGAAAGAAACGAGCATGACCGAGGATATGTAAAGGAGAGGTCGTTTTCAAACCGAGGACGAGTTGAAAATACTGGCTTTCCTCCCAGAGGCAGGTTTAATGGTGCTGATGATAATGGCAAATTCAGGGGGAGGGAGAATTTTGGTGGAAGACAAGGGTATCGTTCAAGTGGTTCCCAGGCTGAGAAGTGGAAGCATGACTTGTATGACGAGGCTAATAGAAGTCCACCCCTAAAAAGGAGGAAGATCCGGTAGCGAAGGTGGAAGCATTACTTTCTTTGTAGATTGGGCAAGGCTTGGTAGAATCACTGTTGTTGGTTCTAGATTGAGGACTTGTTAGTTTGTGTAATTCTTATATGATTGTCTAATGTCTAGTGATTCTAATTTGGCAATGTTAATTGATCAAGCCTTTTACAGCTTTTGGTGTGCTGGGAGGACTTTGTTTTGTACATTTGGCATACAATTGCCAATTGTTTGTGATTGATCCTGGCCGTCCTGCATTTCTCTATGCTATATTAAGACAACGCTTGAAGCATGAATTTGTAACTCCATTCTACAGCAGACCTTGAAGGTTCGTTTTTTCTACATCTTTCGCTTTTGCTAAGTTCAAATCTAAACAGAAGACATCATAATTTTGACCATGAATGATGACGATGCATGTTGAGCTTGAATTGACTTAGCTCGAGCTGTACTCAGTGAGTCTGATACTACGCTCAACTCGAAAATTTGTGTGCTCAATGTTGAATTTTCACTCAAATTCACGAGTTCAAGCTGTAAACGAGTTCAAGCTGATGGCAATGTATAATAAGTGCTCTCAAAATGCATGCAAGCCTCAGTGAATACTTTAAATTATTATGTCAAAATTATGCCACTAAATCAGCAAGATGGCAAGTAGCAACTATAAGCTGTCCGTGTGAATTTATGCTAAACTCGGTTCATAGGCGAGCAAGGGAGTTTCTATTGTAGCCAGACGTGGCCTAGAGAGTTTGCTGTATGAAAATACACATGAGACATGGCCTCATCTAATAATCCATTCCCTGTTGATTCTCCTGAAGGTGCTCCAGTACATTTTTCTTCCCAATCAACATTTCAGCCAGTCCTAGCAAGCAGATATACAGAGATTTTTCAGACAAGAAATGAGATAATGTGACGGCTAATACTAGACAAAGGTAGTACTACTTGCTGCCTCGAAAGAGCTCATTATTATTAGTCGTTGATAAAGCGGGGAACAGAGTGTACCATTGGTATAGTGACGACAATCATGGTGGCCAAGGCGTAAATCAGTTTGCCAGCTGCTGTTGAACTTATAGGCAGCTTCTACAGCATTTGATAACTTGGATGAACCAATGTACCAACACTTTTTCTTAGGAATCTTGCTAATTTTCCTTACCAGAATATTTCCTAAACAATCAAGATGATTAACAAAAGAGAGTTACAAATTCGTGCAGTGCTGCGGGTTATGGAGTAAAACAAATGCGATGAACCGCAGCACGAGTAATTCACAGTATCCGCTTACCTGGGATAGCTCTACCAGATAAGGCAGCCAGAGCCACATATATGTTTTCAGGATCCTGAGGCTGAAAATCAAACACTAAGCCCTGCAAACAATAACCATTCTACAGGATAAGGACAACTTGATCAAGTCTGATCTCTTCAATAAAACTATCCACCAATAAGCAATGTCAATTTCTATATTGTGCTCCTAAGATCACCATAGTGACACACGTGAATCACGAGTCCTGTACACTATGGCGGAGCATCATGCTTAGTGCTCCCGGGAGCATGAAATAATTTTCCGAACTTTTTTATTTGGGGGAGGGGGTGATATGGAAGAGAGCAACCTGGCAATTTGAAGGAGGAGAGGCAGAAGTTATGGATGGTTTGATGATGAGCATGAAATGCTGAAGATTCCACAAGTTGAGAGAATAGGCAGCAGACATGAGTAATTGAGCAGGTCCCTTGGTTGCCCGTAGAGGCGTTGTGGCTACATAAATTTCATCTCTGCCTCTTCCCGGCGCCGTGAATGAGGAATTGCCTGGAAGGTTGATGGCCATTTTTATCACTTTTTATTGTCAATTTACCTCTATGCTGTAATGACACATTTAGACACAGAATGTGGTTAGCCTCTTAGAAGTTTTCTGCTTTTCTCAGATAAGTGGCCAGCAGTGGTAGACCCATCCTATTTTTTACAATAGGTATCAATATATTGATATATTGAATTAATAATATCCTTAGCTTTGTTTTGGACCTTTATATAACATAATAAATAAAAAACTAGTATGTAAATTTATAAAAGGACTACCACCGCGATTGTTTTGTGTCTTACAAATCTTAATATATCTAGGTTTGTCTTGTACAATATTGACTAGGCATATTTGTTTAATTTACAAATATAATCTGCAAGTCATAAAAAGTCTACAAAACTTTTTGTGTGCTTTGGGTGTATAATAATTTTAGTACATGTCTTGTAACTTTTTAAATCATAGAAGATGAACTCATATTTCATATTGCTGGACAGTAAATTTATCATATCATAGACAAAGACATGGAGTAATTTGTTAAGGATTTTGACACAAACAATTTAGAAGATTGTTAGCAGGTCAAATAGAGTATGTTCAATCTAATATAAAGGACAGTGAATTTACTCTAAACAAGTATAAAACACACAATACACCGTATTTTATTGATCTAATAGCGAGCCAGAATTATACTGCCCATCTTGGATGAACATACAAAAGTCTGATAAAAGCTCATTACATCCTTATTTCACCAAAATGGGCTTAATTCGACCACATCGAAATTACAACCATTACTACATAATACATATAGCTGACCAATATAAATATTCCTCTAATTTAACATGCACACACAAATTAAAAGGAAAGGTAAATCCGTTACATAATCTCAGGAAACGGAAGTTTTTTTCCAAATCATGCAGTATCAGCCTCAATAACAGCAACAGCAGCCTCTGCTTCTGGTTCTGCAGGTGCTGCAGCAGGACCAGCCTTCACTTCATCACTCTTCTCAGCCGGCTTCTTCGCTTCTGCAGTGTCATCCTGCTTCACTGTAGTTTCCTCCCTTGCTTCCTTGACTTCTGCTTCCTTGTTTTTCCTTTTTGCTTTCCTCTACCCACAGGCTCTGGTGCCACCTTTGAGGACTCCTCGACAGGAGTAGACGACTTCTTGTCCTCAACCTCCAGCTCTTCTATTGCTTTCTTAGCCTCCTCGACTGCTTGATCATCATCCTTTGTTTCAGTGTTTTCTTTTTCTTGTTCTGCAACATTTTCTGCTTCAACTGCAGCAGGTTCTGCTGGCTGTTGTTGCTCTTCCTCAGTTTTCGCGTCTTCTTGTACTGCAGTATTTTCAGTTTTTTCCACCTTTTACTGATGTTGGTGGCGCGGACTGTTTCTCTTCTGCAGAGTCAACCTTAGGCTGCTCTGGCTCGGCGACTTCTGCTGCCTTCTCTTCTTCTAATTGTGGTGAAGTTTTTGCTGGTTCCTCCACTTTCTTCTCCTGTGGCAGTGCATTTTTGAGCTGAAGCAACCTGTTCAAGTTTTAACCTTAAGAAAATAATTTGTTTGAGTCCAATTTACTTCAATTGGGCGGTCCATAAATGATTCAATTACAAGCCCAAGGCTAAGGTTCAACTCTCCAACCATGTCAAGTCAGTTAAGGCCCGGTCAGTGTGGCAAGCCCACTTGATTCAATGACCACTTATCTATTGAAAAAAGGTATAAAAGCATTTAATCCTCTCTCTACAATCATACACATTAAGCCTCAAGCAATTAATACTCTTGCACAGCTTTCTATTTCTAAACGTTGTACTGACTTCGGCATCGGAGGGGCTTCCTCAGCAACACCTCCGAGGCCAGTTTATGTGTGTCTGCTGTTAGGAAACCTCGGCTAGTCATCACTCGGACTGAGATCAATCTTCAGCCACCAAAAAGGACCTTGCCGAAGGTCCATTGATTTTACCCGAAACATAATTAACTAAGAAAAACAATATGGATCTAGATGAAGTTGCTAGTGGACCAACAATTTGTTGCTACATATCAATAATTAATATGTTTCTCAATATCTGCATTATTTGATTGAATACGTAGAGGTTAACTCAACATAACAATTAAAAAAAACGAAATTCAATTTTAGATGTTAGCTATCAATCATACTCAAAGTTAGTGCAGGGATAGTTTGAAAAATCAAACTGATGCATCTATTGTATAAACGGATGTGGCAAATGAGAACTCCGTACTATTTTGTAATCATGCACCACGAATGGCAGTAAAAACCTTAAGATGTATGCAATCCTTATTAAAACAAGCACATGATCAAAAAACCTTGATAAATTATGTTTTCAAATACTGTATAAATTTAGCTAGTGAGAGGATTTAAAATAGTTAAAAATACTAGGAAGGAACACTCAAGTACAATTATTGGGTATACATATTGTACTGAATCAACATATATAGACATATAGTACTGCATCACTACATACTCCCTCTGTCTAAATTTAGTTACTACGATTATAGTACAACGCGACACAAGAATATTAGGAGTATTAAATTAATTAATCTTTAATTTTGTTGTATATCATAAGAAATAACTAGATTGATAAAACAATAATAGAGGAACTGAGGAATTGATATTGAATTATTATTTTACCTGGACAGTGGCCATGGCTATGAAGGAATTTGAGTAAAATGATGAAAAGTGATTAAAAAGAAAACAAGACAAGGGTGTTAAAAGAAAGCAAAATAAGGCAAGTGAATAAGCTGAGAAAAGTTGATGAAGAAATTGATCAATGGGAAAGAGTATTTATAGGGCTTATCAAGTGATGGTGCATCTACAAATTTTATTAGGTGGGACCAAGGGGAAAAAAATAAAATAAAAAATGATTCTCTAGTGGAGTATTTTGAAAACCCTTGGAACTTTAATGAATTGATAATTTGATCGCACTGAATTTAAGGTCAAATTAGCATGCATGTTGGCTTGGTATAATATGAGTATGTCAAAAGATAAGAGATTTTACCATATCTAATAGAAACAAAAATGATTTATTTGAATAAAAGGGTTATTAAAATATAAAGATGAAAAGTTAAGATAATAAATATTTAACAACATTGAAAGCTGTATGATTAAGTTTTAAATTTTAATTTAACTTAAAATTCTCTATGAATTAAGATTTTAAGTCACATCGATGTGGCTGGAAGTCAATTTAAGTCAATTTACACTATGAATCTGTGTTAAAATAAAACCTTTCACTTTATAAAATCTTAGCTTACATGTATGTAGCCATACAACAATAATGTAACGCTATTTTTCTTTATAATTATTGAAGAAGTGAATTGTAGTATGAAATATTTTCAAATTTGAACTTACAACATTTAGAAAGTGACCGATTATTTAGTTGTTTGAAAGGGAGTTAGGGTGAACCGAGATAAATCTTGTTTAGTTTGTGTTTGATATCATCATTCAATGTTTGGAGTTGTGTGCTGCTGTGCTTTGTGCAGTCTCTCTTAAGGGTACCCTCACTATGATTCACTCATGTTCATACATAATACTCCTAGAATCCCTAGTTATTGGCTATTTCTAGCAACCTCCCAAGTTTCTATCTTAGTGAATTGTTAAGTATTCAGTAAGTCAAACTTAGGGACTAATGAAATATGATTCATTCAAGACTTTTTTACACTGGGATATACCATTACACGATCATATACATCTCATGCTAGAAGCTATTATTTCATAAAGTAGAATTATTTATTATAACTCAAGATTTTATATCTTTTTGTGGCGAAATCCAAGAGATCGCGCATGTTAAATTGTGTAATATTAAGCTATGAATATATGAATAATGATAATATCAACCTTTTTTGTACAAATCTTTGTGAAAAATATACAATAACTGAAAATCGTAGGCCATCTCCCTAGTGTAAAATTCATTGAAACAAAATAAAAGAGTACAAATATACCTCTAGACTTTTATGTGAATAATGCTCCGATCCATTTTTGTTTGGATCCTTTTTTAACAAGATTGTTGTTTTGTATCTTAGTCCGATCCTTATAAATACTTAGCTATATAAATCTTTTCAAGTTGGAACTTTTTTTTTCTCACATTTGTATGATATAGCAAAACATATGTTACAAATAATTTTACAATTTACAAAACAATTTGGAATTTTTGTTGGATCAAAGTAAATTGTACGTTAATTGTATCAAGAAATGAATATTTAGAGCAGAAATTGCGCAACGAGCCATTTATGTTTAAATATTTAGAATTATTTGAAAGAGGAATAATTTGATATGGAGTAATAAAATGAATGTATAATGAATTAATGATAGCCATTACTTTATTTATTTTCCTGATTAATAATTACTAAAACTAAACCCTTTTCTATTTTATAGATACATTTATTTTAACAAAAACAAAGTGATAACTTACAAGACAATCATAAGAAAAACTATTACATATTTACATGCATGAAAGAATGAAGATATATGCCTTTCATTTAAAAATAGTAAAAGAGACATATAATAAAAGAAAAGAGCCAATATGTTAGGTTTAAGTCCTAGAATCATGGTGAATTGAAAATGGTTGCTGAATTTCATTACAGAAACATAAAACGACATTATATAAGGTAGCAAAAAAGCCTTATTTTCAAAAACCTTGCGTAAGCAAATGGAATAATCATGTATATCTATTGGTGCTAATTTTGAACATGATAGATCTAGCCATTGGAACCTAACTTATTAGCCACCGAAAGGCCTTCTCTGACCCACTTTTCCCCCATATATTTTTTTTGTTGGATGGGACTCATATTGGTAGTCATGTCTAGTTACATGGTCAATAAAAATAGTATTAGGCATTTAGGCTACTAGCTATATACCCTTTACAGTAACGGATAACTGTGAGTTCAATTGAAACAACTATATATTAGAAGATTGAGAAAAAAGTAATAAACGGAAATAGAGTTGTTAAATGTATTGAATGAGATCACGAAACATATACAATCATGGCTAGGAAGTTATAATTCTTAGATAAAAAAAAAATAAAAAAAAAAAAAAAAAAAATAAAAAAAACTTATATAATTACGGTATAAGTGCATGTCGAAAAGACAAAAACTCTAAACTCTATAATTAACGAAAAAACTATTTACACATCACACTTTGTATGAAATAGAAGTACATAATTATACTTCCTAATTCCATTCAAAACGGCTATTTAACCCTTAAATTTTACAATATCGCTCCATAATAAGCTAAATAACATGT